CCCCAGAATGAGAAGATCTGCTCTTTTTGCACATCTTTCCCCATGAGGAAACTAAAAGGGCAAAGAAATCGCGATGCAGTGCAACGCGTAACTCTAAAAGCAAGGAAGGCGGGAGGCCATGAAGAGCACTAAAATCTTCCCTAACGCTCACGGCCATTTCAAGACACTTGTTTCACCCGTAGCTTGCTTGCCTTTTTTTTTTTTTTTTCTTTAAATACAGAATCTCCAGAGGCCCATAAAATGCCAGGAAGAAGACAAGGGACTTCTGTTTTCCAGGAGAAGCAGAAAAACCCACCCTAAAACTAACAACCCCCCCCCTCCAAATATGTCAAACTAGGAGCACAGAAGTGCAGATTAAGCAAATGCAAAGAAGTGAGATTCCCCTGCGCTCCAGGGAGGCGATGTCCTCGCTCACGAAACCTCAGCCCCTTGGGAGCACTAGCCAGTTCTGCTGAAGGAGCTGCTGACAAGGAAGAATAAATATTTTCACATCCAAAGTTCAGTTTATCTACTTCCCATCATTTGCTGCCAGTGCTAGAGACTGACAGCAAATTACCCAGCCACGCATTACTACCCGACGGCGGCGATGGGTTTGATTGTACTCCTTAGTCCTTCAGGCAGACTTTTTGAGCTAAGCTGTGTCAATACAAGAAGATTTGAGAAGGTCTGTTCACAGCTGTGCAATAAAAAGACATTTACTGTGAGCATTATATTGGATGTGCCAAAGAAGATATTCAATTCAAACCAGTAAAACCCCCAGAACAGCTTTCCCTCTACTAGCATCAGCCCATATGCATTTTCAATATGCTCTAAAGATCTTACTTTGACAGAAGACAAGCCGTGACCGTAAACTTTTTTTTTATGCCAACAAAGCAGCTTAATATAAATTACATCTGGTGTGTTCAGCTGAAGTGCAGCCCCTTCCCCTGATCAAAACACACGTTTAGACAGAAGAAAAATAATTAAGAAGGGAGCGTTTCAGGCACTAAGAAATATGGCTTTATGGCTCTGGCAGCCTCGCCCCTTCGGCGCTGGCGCTGCCTCGGGTGACACGGAGCAGCTGAAGTGCCCGCCGTGGCTGTGCGGCCACCTCGGCGCACGTGGCCTTTGTCGGAGGAGTACGACGGAGCAGAGGAAGGAGAGCTGGATGACAGACGCGCTTCCAGCCACCACCGGCGCCTCCGTGCTGCATCCAGCACTTCACAGGGGGGACCCCCATGCTGTGGCTAAACAGACCCCTGGAGCAAGGCTAGTCAGGTCCGAGTTCAACGTGGAGAACAAAGTCCCGTGGACAGTCAGCTCATGTTAGTGCCTACTGACACACGCCGGTCAAGGGGAAAGGTCCTTGGATTCCTCAAAAATCTGTAAGATGGGGACAGGCCCACCGGCGAGGGGGGAGGAACAGAGCGCTGCCAAGACACCAGAGACTGAAATTTTTCCACAGCATACTTGGCGGCATCAGGTTTTCAAGCCAAAAAAGCCCCCGAACACGGTGACCAGCGGGTCTGTAAAGCCCAAGCCACAGCACTGTCGCTCCTGCTCCAGGTCCAACAGCGGTGGCCGAAATGAAGGATCTGGAATTCACGTTTTTAGCGGTGAAATCAACCACAGCCTCCCCCGTATCATCCAAATATTTCCTTTCACCTAAGAGCACGGACCTTATTGCTAGTCTAATTTTATCTACCTTCACCTCTGTCACTGCGTGACAAATACTCAGGCTACCGTTCCGCAGGCCGGGGTTGCCTCCGGGGTGCCCGTCGCCGCTCATTCGCCTGTTTCCAGTGGAGGGGGCTGAGCTCCTCCGCTCACTCGTTACTCAGCGAGCCTCCTACCGCTTCAGTCACCCGTGTTGCTGCTCCTCAAGCCTGCTCAGCGGTCCAGCGCTCCTACACTGCTGATACCAGACACAGACACACTCCTCCGGCTGCGGTCAGGCTACGTCCTTACGAAGTCAACGGTTAACCGAGATCCCCTACGTGTAACTAGTACTGCCGAAAGGGAACGGGCGCAGGACCTTTTGGTCCCATTGCAAGCTCATTTTCAGAGCTACCGCTCTTCGTTCATAGTAACCTTGCACTCAGCCAAGCAGAAACATGCTGGTTTTCCAGCAAAATTAACCCGTTTCTGACTACTCGCAGCTGGACAAACCTCAGACATTCACTTCACGCAGGTAACTCCGGGAAATCCACTGCGGCGTGTGGACGCCGGCAGCTGCTAGAAGCCAAGGTGTGCAAGGCCAGCGCGAGGAAGTTTGAACCGCGCTGCGTCTTTCTGTGCAAAAATACTTCAGGAGGCCACCGCTGTTAAACTCCTCCCTCAAAGACCAACACGCACCAGTTTCTGTGACAGCCAGCCTCCTCGTGACCGAGCCCGAGCCCGCTGCGCCCCGAGCTGGGCTTTTTCTCGGATCCCCCTGCACGCCGGCGCCTGCGCAGCGACAGCCACCAGCGCTCTGTCCCCGCCGACGGCCGATGAAGCAGCAGCTCTGCCTGGAAGTTCTGCAATCGCGCCTGGAGTCTCTTCCACCACGTGCGGATGCCACCAGCTCCTGCACTGAGCCACGAGCGCGTCTCAAGCCTCCGCACTGGAGGATTAAAAGCCCTTATTCCTACGGAATTTGCAAGGGGGACCTCTGCGCGCTCTGTGGCGCGGGGAAGGCAGGAGCCCAGCAGGATTCTTCAGCGGGAAGCGGCAGCACCCCAGGCGCAGGCTGGAGGTCCTCACCCACACCCTTTCACCCACGAAATGATCGTAGCCGCGCGGGCGCTGGAGGAGGCGGACTGACGCTGGTGTGGTGAAGGAGGTGGAGAAGAACCTGGAATAACCCTGCTGTGGAGATGCAACACGATGTAAACCAGCAGGCCCTCGAGAACATTTGAAAAAACTTGTCGAGAAAACAAGTGGCAACGATGTGGTGATAAGAACCAGATGATGCTTTGAAGCACAGACCCAGAACTAAAGGCTAACCCTAAGTGAATCGGATGTATTATTATTCAAGAAGCGAGTTTTTAACCACGAGCTCCTGCGAAAACGAAGACATGAAAAATGGCTTGCAAACTCTGCCCTCCAGGAAAGGAGCAGCAGCCCAAGCACAGGGATCCGGTACTAATAACGGAGATGGGAAAAATTAAAGATAATGAAACGCAGACCCAAAAGCTGCGTTTACTGAGAGATACGGAGAACCTGCGGAAGACTGAAAAAAAACCCCGTTACTAGCGGCTGTGGCGGGTGGAGAAGGAGCGAGGCAGAATGGAGCATATTCAAGCAAGAAGAGGTTTTTACGCTGGGACAAGCTACGGAGAGCTCGCAGCCGGATCAACCCGGAGCCCGCACAGCCCGTGCTCGGGGTAGGTCCCCCAGGAGCGCAGCCTGGCCGGGCTGAGGGGTGCTGGTCCCACCGCCCCGCTCCTCCCCCTGCCCCAGCTCGTTCTGTTGGAGGTTTTCCGCCGTGCTGTCGCCCTTTTGGGGAGCAGGCGGCTGCTGGGCCGGCTCGGCCGGGACTGCGCTTCTTCCAGGCATCCGGCTCGAGGCAAGGACCTGCCAACGGGCCGCTGCGCAACACGGTCCACACAAATCGTTTAATTTTGATTGTCTCACGGGAGCCTCTTTACCCGAGCAGCTTTCCAAAAAGTGCAAACCACGTTTTTTTTTATTAATCGGTCAATAATTATCTTCCTGGAAGGGGGGGGGAAGTGTCGCTCCTTTGCGAGAGGCTGTCAGTCCTCTGCCATCAGTCGAGCTCCAAGGACTGCTGTAGGCACTCCACCTAGTGGTTCGCACACCATTTATAATTAATAATGCTAATGTTTGCTTTAGCGAGAGCCCATGGAGCGGCTGGAGCACGGCCCACAGCCTCTAACGCATTTGTGAACGCTCTCATCCTTCATGCAGGGGTCCGAGCCTGGACACTTCATCTCAAAACACGCCACAGGGCTGCAGAAGCCCCTGGAATTCAGATGAGCACCATGTGGTGGGACCACAAGACCGGCAGCCGCGTTTAAAGACGGCTCTTGGTGTCGCTCATTCTCCCTGTAACGGGCAGAAAACAAACGTGCGAAAGCAGAGGCCTCCCACACGGCCTGGCTGCGGTAAGGCTGGGACCAGAGCTGCCAGAGGACACGATGCCTCTCAGGGAGCGGCGAGCTGTTTGAATCAGTCGACTGCTCTTCCAGGAAAGCAGAAAAAACCAGCTTCCAGTGCAGGGACACGAGTTTACCCAGGCGTGGATTTAACAGCGGGTTCACTGCTAACAAGTCACCTGACAGAACTCGCACAGTTACTGGAGGACTAATGAAGATTTTTGCCGGCTACGCGCGTGCTGAGTCCGCTGCGTTAAGGCAGCTTTTCGGTCACTCGAGGTTGGCTGCACGTGAGTTTTTCCTCTCGAAGCCACGCCAGGCAAGTCGCTTAGCTCGCTTGAGAGGGAAAACAGAAAGAGCCACCTCTGCTGTCTACAGACCCATGAAACTGCAACACCAAGAGCAGCGCACGAATCTTCTACCTGCTGCCATTTCCCAACCGGGTGGAAGGACAATCTGCTTTTCTCTCTCCCCTTGCAAAGAGCCTGAGGAGCAGCACAGCCCGGGTACAAGGCTGGGCGCTCGTACCTGGGCGAAGAGGGGATGAAGAGAATCATCCAGAATGACCCTGGAGACGAAGCAGGTTCCCTCCCCTCCCACGAGCACCAGAGGTGCTAGAGAAGTGATCTGCAAGCACAAGATACAGTAATGAAATTCAAGAAAAGGGAGGCTTATGGAACACAGTGTGGAGGAAATATTTTTCCACTGTGAAACTGTCCTTTCGAAACCCCCCACTCTGCTTCCCTGCTTCACCCAGCGAGAATGGAGGGGCGCTTGCTCCATTCTCCCTAAGACCCAGAACCAAATCCCCTAGGAACAACGGCAGAGATGAAGAAGCTAGGCATAAAAAAAAACTTCACTGATGTATGATTCACTCCACTCGGTGGAGAGGTAAGTGAGGAAAAAAAAAAAAAAAAGCAGCTTTCTATCAAGATTTATAAAGGTGCCCAAGGGAACTGGACACCCACACCCCCATATTCATCGGCCTTAACAGGTATTAAATTTAAAGGTATCTAAACTTAAAGGCACGTTTGAGTCTCGGTGCGAGTCTTACAACTGGCAGATTACACACAGCTCCTGCTTTCTGCGAGGGCAGCCAGTTGCTGGTGCATCACTTAAAGATTCTGATTAGGCAACATTAACTAAATTCTCCTGTACGAGCACCACGGGAAAAAGGCACACAAGGGTGAGCAACAGTGCCCTGATCATCTCTGAAGGTAAGGCAGTATTTATTAGCAGGACTCCAGAACACCCATTTTGCCTCCCAACCCAACAGCAAACACCGGGTGAGCAGCATCCAGCGAGAATTTAACTGGGTGCACCCAAGAAGTCAAGAGCCCGGAGTAAGAACGCGGTATTAGAACAGAAGGACAGCAGACATTATCCCAAATGACGTGAATACCCTGGTGCAGAGTCAGACAAGACAGAATAGTTGTGCGTTGTGGGAGAGAAAAAGAAAAAAGAAATGAAAAAAAAAAAAAAAAATCACAAGGCAAAACCCCAGCACCATGCATTAACTGACCTTTCAGACTGCAACCCCTGTGGCAGGGAAGGAAGCTCCTGAAGTCTTCACAGCCTCTCCAACTGACACCTCAAAGCAGAGCTGCACTCCGAGAAGCCTGACACTGGGTTTGGGGTCACAGGCCTGGCTGCTGTGACACCGGGTCTTTAATGGGTTTTAACTCTGTTCAGAAGGTCCCTCCACCACCCCCTTCCTGCCCCAGGCAGCAAGGCTCTTAACGCCCAGGCTATACTCCTGAGAACTGGCAGCTGGAGCAGAGGGGAAGCAAGCAGCTTGCTCTCTCTCAGGTAAGGTCTTAAAAATAACGTGTTCAGGAAAGAAACCAGCGGGCACATCTCCTGCATTTTCTGCCACCCTCTCCCCACATACATACTGCTTCATGGCTATCAGCTTGGAGTCCATGCTCTCCTGCTTCCCTTTCATCACCTGGATGTCGGTCAGCAACTTGGTTACGTTGTCTTGCCGAACCTTTATATCCTCATTCTTTATACTGGATACCTGGAGACAGAAAGGAAGATGTCAGTGGTGTTTCCTTTCCACAAAACCGTTATTTAAGCTTCTAAGTTGATACTGCAAATAATTCACCTGCCCTCTCTAGACCATCGGCTGCATTCATACCCGAGTGCTCTGTGCCAGGAGACTAAAACCAGCCGTCTACAAAGCGCGTTTTCTGCAAGCGCATTGCTATTTGAAAACATCAAATTCCGTCACAGCTATAAAAAAAAAAAAAAAAAAAAATTGTCTTTTTGGAGCAGAAATCCAGTGCTCAGGTAAAACTGAAGGCCTGCACAAGAGCTGTGTGCCTATGCCAACCTTCACGTAAGAACGTCCTGGCCCACTGCCTATCTATGACAACCCTGAAGTGAAAACTTCGCGGCCACAAAGATCAGGGAGCACATGTGCTCTGAAAACGGGAAACAAACGTTCTTCTCGCACACGTTCAAGCCTCCGCCGAGCGCAGTGAGCTGGATATCGGTCTTGGCAATTAAGTCATTGGCCGGTTTGAGGAAGAAAAGCCGGAGAAAAGAGGCGGATGAGCTCACTGCAGCAGAGGCCCGCAGGCAGAACGGCAGGCCCGAGATCCCTGAGCAGCAGCCGGTCGCTCGACATCCTCCTCATCTCCCCCACAAGCGGTAAAGCAGCTGAGGGGAAGATTCTGAGCAGAGGATTTTATTTTTCTGATAAAATACTCACGAGAAATGACACCTGGGCATGTTTCACGAGAGCTGTAGCACGTGAGAAGTCTATGAACCTGCCAGCCGTTATAGGGGTTAACACATCGCACCCACTCGACAGCAGCTTCTCCCCACTCCACCTGCCAGCAGGTCATATATCTTTAAGATCCCTTTACATCCCTCTAACGCGTTTGCCCACTGTGAAAATGTCTAGAGGAACTAAATGCCTCAGCGAAAATGGCACTTACAGTTATTTGAGAGCACCCTGGGAGAGACAGAAGAGTGAGCTGCTCTCTACACATTGCTTTGATTAATATTTGGAAAAGAATGACAAACCCACGTTTCTCCAGCCCACACCTCAGGACTAATAAATTAGCCTGGAAAGTTCATAAGCGTTCTTGGATCTCCTGATACCAGCTGCAGCTACACCATGTCTTCAGAACATGTAGTGCAGTTCTGTGTTTCAAGAAATGGGGACAGTTGTAAAGCACCTGTGAGCGTAAAGGGAAACCGCCCAAGTTTGTATTTGGGATGCACTGGAGGTTACCACGTTTAAAATAATTCAGGTGCCTTATCCTTCCTTTTCCTCCTTCCACTACTACATCTAACACATCCTCACGTGTCTGTGTGTGCACACATGGTATGTACTTATTTTTCACTCCCTGAAGCATTTCAAGCAAAGACTGCAGCTCAGCTAGTGATCACTCTCCCTCCTACTGAAAGGTACAACTGCTCTTCGGTCTCTCCAGGGGACGCAGCAAACTTCCCTCCATCAAGCTAAACTCAAACAGATGCTACTTGTTCAGAAAAAAAAAAAAAAAAAAACAAAAACACCCCAGAAAAAAACATAGTGACCTTGTTTACTGAACTCAGAAAGAATTTGGTTTGCAAGGCCAGAGTGCTGGCTGTTTTCTGTTGATGGTGTGGGAGAGAGGGGAGGTCTCCAGCAGTGCCGTAAAGAATCAAATACTGAAAATATTGCGAAAAAGCCCCACGAACAACAGAGACAGGTACCAAGAACCTGGGGCCAGCTGATTAGCAGGGTGGCACTGCTGCTTGTACCTGGGGGAGAGGGTAGAGACAGCCAGAAGTGCTGCTGGCAGAAGCCAGTAAGCAGTGACGCCAAGTGTCTGTCACCCTTCGAGCACACTGATGCTTTTCAGATTAATCCTCTGGTTTTAAACCGTTTACCCAGAGCAAGACCTGTTGTATAAACTTACGCTGGTTACTTTCCTCTTGATGTTCTCCAGGAGATGTTCCTGGCCTCGGATGAAATACGGATGCTGGAATTCAGTATCGTCTTTCTCCGGCTTCACCAATCCTCCCTGCTCAATGTGGACAACCTTTCGAAAGCCATCTGAAAAATCAAAGGGGCGAGAAGTGGAGAAAAAGCTTAACAGACTAAATATGAACTTGAGAAAGCAGAAACTAGCACAAGTCACCCTTGTTCGCTTAAACAGCCAGCGCTCCATCACTGTGGCACTGCTTTCTGACAAATCTCATCTGAAAAACGCTACGTGGAACGAGAAACCCCTCCTGAACTTGACAGATACTCGGACAGAGGCTTATGCCGATCCCCCCCATACGGCCTGAACCGCAAGTGGCCCGAGTCCTCTCCAGCCACCAGCTCATCCCCCTGTCCCCGATCGTCCCCAGGAGAGCAGGGCCAGGCCACAGCTGCCTGCCCCGAGCACCGGCTTGACACGGACGGCTGAGAGGAGCAGGACCCACTTCCACGTCCTAAAGTCGCCTGAAAACCACTTTTTGCTGCTCTCGCAAGACCAGCTCGTGCTGATGTTTGGCTGACAGCACGGATCAGCAAGAAGAAAGGCTGAAATTACTGGAACTAAACCAAGAGTCTCCAATTACCCTCGCCGTTGCCTGATAAAAGCCCCTCATCCACAGGGAACCGTCCTGCTCCACGAGTAAACCGCACCTTGCCTTGCCTCTTCAATGCAGAGCAGGACAAGGAGGAACATGTACTTCAACACAACTTTTTTCAGGAATACCACCAAAAAGAAACTCAAACATTAGCACGTGCTCCAGGCAATCCCAGAGGGCTTATGTTTTCTTTATTCAGGGAATAAAATGGTTTCTGAGAGCAATTAGCCATGTACACAGCAACATACATGATGCAGATAGAGCACCACGGGCAATCATCTCACATACTGATGAAGCCAGGAACACTTTGGAGACAAAACCATGCAGGTGCCCATCAGCACACAACGGGAGATGAATTATCACTGCATTTAACTGATCTCCCAAGCCTCCTGATTCGCCATTCCAGGGTGCTGAGCCTTTCTTCTCGCAGCAGCACGTGCTACCTCACCCTACAAGCCCATGATGCAGCCTGCTGTAGCCGGCACGCCTATAACAAATTTGCACCTTCCAGGCCACTGCAGGCACCCTGATCCTTCACCTGAAAATAAAGAGGAATTTTCTTATAGTAAGGGAAACCCCTAAGGCACAGAAGGTAAGTAAATGACTTCCCAAGGGCTTCGGAGCCTTTCCAGAAAACTTCTTCCTAAATGAGCTGTTCAGTGCTATTAGGACGAGGCTGACAATCTCTGCAAACAGGGTTTGCAGTCCTGAACAGACATTCAAGTTAACAATACACTCACCTTTATACTAAAGCTCCAAATTATTATTATTTTTTTTTTTTTAACCCGTCTACTCCACCTTAAGACATATGAATCCACAGCGTTTTTCTCATTCTAATACGTGTTGGTTAAAAACAACCTGGCTCCAAACAATTCCCCCAAACTATAGCAAGAAGCACCACTGTTATTGCGGCGGCAGCGCAACCTCCCGGTGAGGGTGACGCTGCGGTTCCTCCCCTGCCTGGCGAAGCCGGGCACCACGTGCTGGAAAGTGCTTCCTCAGCAGCTCAGGCAGAAGTTATGCACCAAGGTCTTCAGATGGCCTTAAAACACCTAAAAGCCACTCAAGGAGAGAGCGTGGCGCGTCGGAGTGCTTTTGGATATCAGCATTTCTGTAAACTGCTAGGATAAATCAATTTAGTTAAGTTTCTCAGACCACAGCTGGGGTTAAAAAAAAAATAAAAAAGGAGCTCCCCGCACCTGCAGCAGAAAGTGATTTGGAGAAATTACACGTTGTTGTAGTGATATTACCCAGTTTTTGGTTATGCAAGTCATCCTTAAAAACTCAAGGCCCCGGTCACGAAGCACGGAATGTGCCCCACAGCTATTCAAAGAGCTGGTGTTGAAAGGTAATGAAAATGTCATCCTTTCCAATAACATCGGAATGCTCTCTGCAGCCCACATCTGGAGCATTAACCTTAATCCCTGATACAACCTCCGCCCGAGAGGTGGATGAAAGGCATCCTTTATGTCGCTGCCTATCAGAGGGACCCGCAGCCAAAACGTAAATGCAGACCCGCGTGCTCGGGGCGGAAGCCGAGCAGACTGCCGTGAAGCGGCGTCTCCGGGATAATCCCAGAACGTTCCCGCTCGCCGGCGGGAAGGAGCGGCCCCGAGTGCACCCATCGATCTCGGGGCACTTGCACAGCCGGGCGGCTCTCCGCTTCCTCGCACATCCGAGGGGCAAGAGGAGGATTAAGCAGGATACGTTTGGGAAACCCAGAGGGGGGGAGCACGGAGAAAGGGGATATTGCTCGAGTAGTAGAGGGCAGAGAACCAGTAGCACGGAGATACTCGGTCGGCCCAATTCCAAACCTGAACCACCAGCTCCGCTTCAGTTTGCTCATGCAGCGACCGGAACGGGAGCGGAGACGTCCCCGGACAAAACTCCCCCCTGAGCTCGCAGCACAATACTGGTTTTGCCCGTGGCGGCGCTCGGAAGAGCGGCCAAGGCTCGGCACACGCCGTGAGACACCGGCTCTGGAGGATTTCGTAACCCTCGCTCGGGTTTTGCGTCGGGATCCCCGGCCGGGCGGGCAGCTGGCTCCCGGGCTGTCCGCCCCGCCGGCGCAGAGCAGCCCCGACTCCTCTGCAGGGGAACAGGTGCCTCCCAGAGCTGTGCTCAACCCGGAGCCGTTTGGGAAAAACGCCACAAACGGCTGCACTTGCCGCACGAGAAGCCAAACAAGCAAATCCCCAAAAAACTAAGCGCGCAGGAAAATCACGCTCCACTTCGAGCACCTTTGTCTTTACCGCGTGTCCGTTAGCAACCCCTGCTCTTCAGGCAAACGCAGCTTGGCGGCGCAGGGACAACCTCTGAATTTACTTTCAACTTCGGACGTACGCCTGCCGCGTCACTCAACTCTAAACCAAATGGAAATCCTCAAACTGCCACCGACCACACACCAAGAAATCCCTTTTACAATTCAAGTAAACCGAGGTCTCTAACACAGATTGGGAAGAACAGGATCAATGGTAAAAAGCAGATTAAGCACGTGAAAAAAGTTACAAACACCTAAAAATGGAAGTTATATTTACCATTTTCTAGGGCAAGACATGGAACCTAGCTTTCCACCACCTTAGTGCTGCATCATGCTATCATGGTATAACCGAACTTATCAGAAAGATCCAAAAGTCTGGTCGAGGGCAGGAATTTTGTTTGGAGAACCCAGCTCTTGAGGTCTTAAAAAAAGAAAATTTAACAAAATCTCAGTTCCATTTCTGATCAGAATGCATTTTTTTTCCCCAGAAACACTGGACCTCCTGGGAAAGGTGGTGTTAGAAAGAACTTTCAGCCCTGTCTTAGCTTGGAGATTTATTACTTCTTTTCCCCCCCCCTTTTTAGAAGAACGCCTTATCACCCAGATGTGCTTTTGTCCCACCACCTAATTCTGTTCCAGCTCTTCTACCCCTGCTATTGCAAGGAGGAGCTGACACCCAAAATAACGTTGCTCCCCGGGTCCTCTGCTGCCCTTAGAACATTACAGGGAGTGAGAGGGATCAGAGCAGACAGCTTGCTTGCTTCTGCCTGTTCCCCGGGTGCAGCAGTGTCAGCTTGTACCTGGCTGACAAGCTAATCCTCAGGCTGATCCTACTCCAAAGCGATCCAGGATATCCAAGGACCAAAGGCACCTGCAGACACGGGCTTTGGAGGGAATCGTCGCCCTCCTCCCAGTCCTGCCCAGTGACATCCTTGTTCTCCCAGCAGGATTTGGTATTTTGGGCATACCTCTCCCTCAACGGTGATGGGAAAGGGAGTATTCCCTAATTCTCTGGGAACTCCTGACCCTTCTCAGGGAGCTGGGCAAGCAGGTGCCACTTTTCACGTACACGTGTGCATAAGCAAAAAAAACCCAAACCAAAACAAAAAGTACCCAGCAGACAAGAAAAGGTCACGTTAAACCTACTGAATTTTCTTCCAAGACAGGATAGTGAGCTTTATCGATAGAAAAGCAGGAGCCATCTCAACCAAAGCATGACATCCTCAGAGCAGGAAAATGAGCAAGATGAAACTGATATAATATGGGCGTAAATCCAACCAAAAAGCCTCATTTAGGGAGCAGTTAGCAAAAAATTCTGTAGTGCTGTGTATACGAGTGTGGGCCCAGCCCTATTCAGCGTCTTCATTAGAGGCCTGGAAGACTGAAGAGAGAACATTTGCTAAAGTGGCTGATAAAACACGGCTGGGAAGAGCTGCAAGACCGTGGGAAGACGTGACTGCAATTCAAAGTGAGTTTGCCAAGAGGAATGAAAGTCACTATTGACAAATACAAGGTACAGCTCTGAGGCAGGCGTAGAACCAAACAAATACGGGAGGGAAAACCACTGCGCAGGTAGCAGCTGAAGAGAAGATCTGAGCGCTGTAGTGGATCATGAGCTGAACACGTAAGTCGATGTCACGCTGCTGAGAAAAAGGCCAGTGCCATCAAGGGGGTACGCACAAAGGTACGGCCTTCAAGACACACGAATTACTCTTTTTATTCTATCCAGTGATACATCCAACGTTGGCTACTGCACTTCCAACAAAGAGATGGAACAAAGTCAGTTCAGAAAGGAATGCAAATGATTAAAGGCTGGGAAACAACCGGTGAGAATGAAAAAACCAGGCTGTTTACTCTGAAAAAGAAAAAAAACAGAGGCCTGAGGAGAGGTATCAAGTTTTCAAAGACACAAAGGCTTATGCGAAGGGAAAAGGACTAAAGCTCTTCATAGCCACAGCAGACAGGAAAGAAGCGAAGGATTTAAACGGTAGCTGGGAAGGTCTGAGTTAGACATTCAGCAACCAACCGCCCTTACGCTAACAGCATTTCCTTGATGAACTGAAGGAACCTTGATTACTGGAGGCTTGGAAAAAACATAAGTTAGATGCAACGTCATCAGGAACAACACAGAGATCGTTGGATCCTGCCTTGAAGCAGAGGTTTGGGCCAAATGGTAGTGAGGTCCCTCCAGCCCTATTCTGCTACGATTCTGTGGATTATTTTTTGAAATAATCGCTGTTTAGTAGAGAAAGTTCAGTCAATGCCTGCTCTACTTGATGCTGGCAGCAACACCCCCTCAAGAAAGCGAGTAGAACACGAACAAGCTGTCACACGTGGTGGGCTTGTCCCACTGGAAGCGTCCCAGAGGATGTCCTCCTTCACGGCACAGGACGGCAAAGAGTGCCACCGCAAACGTTAATGAAGGGTGGAGGAAAGCATTCAGAACTCCCGAGCTAATAATCAGGGAATTTCAGGATAGAAGAAATCTGAGAGTCTGAAGTTCTTTATATCCAGCAGAAGTTTTCAGCTTTAGAAGCTGCTATTCCCTTCAGCAGAGGCCAAGATTAAAACCACCCCTTGGTCCCCAAAGACTGAGTGACTGCAAAGCAAGCGAATACTCCCAAATTAAACATCCCCTCTGCTAAAGCTGGGCGGAAGAGGGGAACCTTATTTCAGGACAAACTTTACGCTTTGCGCTCCGAGCTGCCCAGGAGATACTCACACATATTGAGCTGCCGCACAAAGCTGGCCATGTTGTTGTGTTTGAAGTACTTCGGAAGCACCTCCTTGGCAAACTGGCCTTGGTCAAACACATGGAAGCTGCTTCCGCTCTGTCAAAAGAAAAAAAAAACAAAACAAAACAAAACGAAACGTTATCAGTCACAGTTCTGCAGAAAGAGAGAAGCCCACCCGCCCCTTCATTTCACAAACACAAATTCTCCGTTGCTGCGGGCGAAGCCTGTAAGGGCCCCATGCCTGGGAGCCCCTCCGCGGCTGGCCAGGACGTGGTCAGAAGCCCCCTGGGCAACGCAAGCTCCCATCAGTACAGCTCCGGGGGACTCAGCCGGGTCCTGCAGCTCCCGACGCCGTCAGCGCTCAGCACGCCGCCGCGTCTCGGCCGAGCCAGGGTAACTGCCCACGGGGGCCAAACCCCACCTCCTCGCGCGCGGCCCAGAAGAGTAATGTGCATCTATCCGTCAGTTATGAAGCACGGGCAGACAGCCGACGACTCTTTATGCTGGGATCAAGCTCCTAATGTGGAAGAACCAGCGGAACACAACTCCCCGGGGACTTAAAAAAAACCCACCCAGGAGGTCAAGCAGGCTACAGAGATTAAACATCAATTTGCACAAATCTATTCGTTCCCCAACTCGTCCCAGTTAACTCGTTTTCCTATCTACAGCAACAGCCAACAATCTTCTGAGCGAATTGAGACAACCAGGCTAGTCTGACTTTAAACATCAACAATTGTGAACAACTGAAGGTAATTCTGTGTCCTGGCAGCCGCGGGCAGCTCGCCCTGCCCACGCAGCCAACGGCCAGAGCAGCTGAAAGCGATACGCGGCGCTGCTGGCAGGGTGAGAGCAACGCTCGCTAAGGAGTTTTAATTTTTCGCCGCGATTGATGAACATTTTCTACGTGTTGATTTAAGAAGTAGGAGTAGGCAGGGCACAGGAGGAAGCGTTTGTGCCCCTCTAAACCCTGAGGCACTTCTGCTGTCAGATTTTGGAAAACAAGTTGTCACCACCAACAGAACAGCGCATGCCAAGAATAACTAGTTATTTTGACTATCATAACTATCTTGACTAGTAGTCAGGACTGTATTTCAGCCACTTAGCTTTCAGGTCTGTGGTGCCGTTTTATCAAGTATGGTTTCTATTACCTTTCTGGCACGCTCAGCAGGAATTATACTGTCAACATAAGCATCTGCAAAACAGCAAAAGAAGGGATTTTCGTTCTGGCAAAGCGACACAAGAACTCCGGGTGCATTTTACAACCCGGATTTTCTTCCACGCCAAAGTCCTGCTCCTGCTCCATCCTCCTGCTCACATCATCCACGTAGGACCAGCACGCCGCGCTGGCAGAGCGCCGGAGGAGAGCCAAGCCCGACAACGTGCTGGCAAGTCACGGCACGGCCGCGAAGCGATCGGCCGCCTTAGTTCAAAAGAAAAGCGGCAGGGCCAGGCCAGACCACCCACACGGCGGCAGGATGGTGCCTCGGAACGCCACAGGCCCCCCCAAATCTCCAGTGTCTCGAGGAAAAGACCTTCACGAGCCGGGGCTGCTACTTCAGTATTAAACTCGGCCTTGCCGCACAAGGTGTGCGGAGCCCCCGTGGCCGTTATGGCACCGAGTGACAAGCCAAACACAAAGCCACGAGTGTCCCAAGCCCCAGCTCAGTGCTAGAGCTGAACACCACGGGCGCCTGCAGACAGTTGCCGAGTCCCAGCACGAGCCCCCAGGGAAAGGATGAGGCCACCGTCTTCTGAACTGACTTAAAGAGTATCAGACCAAATGTCCACGAGACTTGATTTTCAGACAGGCCTGTTTTACTTGTAAAGTGACCGGACAAATTCAATGCAGCATCAATCCCAAAGATTTAAGACTATATAAAAAAAAAAAAAAACAACCACTGCAAAACAGACTTCAAAAGATTCTGCCTGCCAATAACAAAACCAGGCAAGGGCTTATTAAAAGCTGACAGTTTGGGCTTTTTGGTCCAGGGATGAGTTTCTTTACTCCCTCAGAGGATTCACCTGCATTTGAGTATTGGCTTTCATCAAGGTCCTTTACTCTTTATCCAATACTTACGAGCACTCCAAGTTGATTCTAACAGCAAAAAAGGCAACAGAAAGATGGCAACGAGGGAAGGAAGCGCACACTAGCCTTCTCCTAAAGATGGCAACCCACAGTAAAGAAAATACCTTTGAGTCCCACGCCAAGGCTTTTTGTTTTGCTGGAGTTGCTCCATCCCATTTTTCGTCCCCTAAGATAAACAAGTTTGCTGGTGGTCTTCTCAGCGAACTCCACAGCACTACGGCCGTTTGCTGTCCACCGCCGCATCCAAAACACTCTGCTCCCTTTATCTACGTCCAGATCCCCCAACCTGCCCCCCCCCCCCCCCCCCGCTCCTGCCCAGCCTCGAGAATCTTCCCAGGCTTAGCTACTCCACAGGAGTCTATCCACGCTGCTAACAACCCCAACAGATTTTCCAGTATTTTCATAGCAGGATGGCTATTATGTCCATCAACTTCAAGGAGCTTCACCCAAACCTGAGCGCAGGACCTGCTCCTTCCAAGGAAAGGGGGAGGGAGAGGGACCCGAAGACAGGCCCTCAGCCTTCCGATCTAATACTATCAGAACCACCGCACTGGTGATTTCCTTCATAATGTTGTTTGAGATCCATACTAAAATTTGTATTTTCAACACTGTACCGCTTAAGCATTTCTCTCTGCAGTTATCAGAAAGAAATACTCCCATTTCCAGACTGCTTAGGGCCGGATTCTGCACATTTTCTTGCACTCACACCAACTACCTTTCGCTTAACCAGCTCGTCTCCACTTTTGGTGTTAGCCCACCGCCCATCACCGGGCTGCTGCTTTTGGTGGGAGACTCAAGAGTAAGTGGAAAGGGCAGAGGTCTAAGGTATGTAAAAACTTTGCAGGGAAACCCACCTGAATTACATTGTCTGTGACAGGATCGTTTGCACAGTTTGGACTAAATCAACCCTGCGCAGGTGTTAACTAAATTCTGCCTCATTTCTATTATTCCAGTTCTCAAGGTCATCTGGTTTCTTCTGAACGGCATCCCGAATCTTTGCTGTGTTAACAAAGCCCAACGGTGCTCTGTGAAAATTTTCCCAACACACCTTCTGTGCCCAAGTCATTACAAAAACCGCATTCAAAGAGACTGTTCCAAGATTTCATCTTCGAGCAGCTCTGCCATGACGTCTCTCCAGACTGGAGCGACCCTCTGTTTTAGCCAGTCGTTGTCAGCCCATCTCCGTCCCCCCCACTCCCAATTCTTTTATTAATCCTCATCTTCTCCACTTTCATTTAAGATTTTCCATGCAGCAGGATATCAAATGCTTTGCGGAAGTCTAGACACATTAGACCTGCCCCAGTTCCTTTGATCCAGAAAAGGATTTCACATCCAGAGGAGGTACAATCAAGTTTTGGTAAATTCATGTCATATTTTATTCTATTTCCATTTACTTCCATGGCTTTAGTTATTCTCCTCTTCAGAATAATTTCCGAAGCACTTCAAACCAACAAGGTCAGAGTAGTTAGTCATTAACGCTCCTCTTAAAATCAAACAGCTTATACAAATGAGGGTAAGCATCTTTCTTGGGGTGACTGCTTACGATGCCGAAAGGGGACGAGGGGGCTCCTGCGCTAAAATCCCACTTCTCCCTCACTGCTAGGGGATGCAAACACAAGGATCTCGGCTCCCTGGGCTGGAAGAGGTCCCCCCCAAACCGAAGTTCCCTGGTCGGAGACCTGCTCACTTTGCCTGCTGGAACCAGCCTCGGGGTTAGTGATGGGGCCCAGCGGGGCAGCGCAGGAGGAGCTGGACCGCTTCCCAGCAGGTTTGTTGAAAGGGAAGAAACAACGCAGGCAGATCTCTTCACAGGGCAGCGCAAAACTCCTGACAGCAAATGAAACACAGCTTCTCTTGCGTAAGTTTGGTATACTTTTATCTTGACGTGTTCCAAGTCGAGTTCAGACAGCATCAAACATTTCAGCACAGATCAGGTTGTTTGGTCAGAAGCCTTGCCTCTCCCCAAGAGGGGGACAACACAAAGTCAAAATGACTCATGTAACACTAGACATTTGCAACATGTTGGCCAGGACCGTACTCACTCCTAGTCTAGACGGGCTCCGACCACCCACCGCATACTCCAGGTCTCCACATCTGCACCGGCAACCCTTCTGCTCTTCCCATTCTCCTCCCGCGAAGCCTCGCAGGCTCGAGACACCGCTTATTCTTCTGGTGGACAAAAGAGGAGGCACCCCAAAGGATTTTCCGAAACCGATGCTGGGGCAGAAAAGTCAGTTGATTAAGGAGAGTGGCAGGGATTAGGCTTGGTGTGGAAAAGCTTTCCTAGTCCAGGCGGCGCTTATAAGCCACCACACGCTACTGGCTTCTCTGCTGCTGCTACACGTGCTCCGTAGCAGGTTTTAACAGAAACCCTCAATGACCTTTTCCAAATTAAGATTGCAGAAGGGCACTTGTGTTCAGGAAACACCTTTTCGCTCTGTTTGCAGAAGTAATAGTAGTCCTGTAATGCAATGAACTGCTCAAACTTTGCTGTTAATCACTTCTTGATGGCACTGAACATCTGGGGTTAAGGGGCCAAAAATTACAGACCTGGACTGAGGGTGAGGCTCTTTTCACACAGAGTTACAAGCAGAGCTATACATTAAAGCTGCCCACAGGATAAGAGCCCTCTGCAGCCCTCCCTTCAGAGCATCATGCATCGAGCACACCGAGCCCTCCAGCTCCCGATACAGGTTTCAGGGGTTTCACACCACAATTTTGCTCCGTACCTTCCACTCCTTCCCCCAGACCACGTTATTTGCTATCTACAACGATGAACTGCGTGTCCAGAGTAACCCTTCAGCACACCCATCCTTGCTGCCTCTCGGGTTTTTCCTCTTCGAATCCACGAGGAACGGCCGGGCACAGTTTCAGCGGCCCAGCAGCCGTGAGCAGCGGCGCTCGGAACAGCGACCTGTCCAAAAACCAGCTACTGAAAAGCTACTGCCTCCCCCAGCTGACAATCCCCATCGCCGTGCTTCTGCCCTCCCATCCTCCACGCTGGAACTTA